GTGAAAAATTTTAGTTTCCTACCTTTATTCGTGTTGACTCTAGCGGACAGACGGAAGGACGTACGAAGGACAGACGGAAGGACGTACGAAGGAACAGTGCTAAATCGTCTTAGAATTTTACGCTGATCAGGAATATATATATATACTTTGTTATGTCTTAAATTTTTATTTCAATGAGTTACAAATGGAATGACGAACTTAATATACCCTCCATACTATGTATGGTGGAGGGTCCAAAAAGGTTCCATCAGAGTTGGTATGATCTACTTCACATAAATTTCCAATATAGATGCTTATTTTTTTTACGGGTAGCTCTACTCAATATGCACAGTAGTGTAGGGTATCATATGGTCGGCCCTGTCCGACTTTTGACCTTTTTCCTACTGGTTCTAGCATGTTTACTGTTTTGGTAATTGTTGATGACAAAAAAAAAATGGTACTTTGGTCGGGGAAAGGTAATTCGAAATCACTGCAATATTTGTTTCTTTTTTTCATAATCATTGTTATGGTTGCTCTATTTTCGCTCTATCAACAATTTAAAATGTAAAACTGCACTCTTCGAAGATCAACCATCCTGAAACCCATTTTTCACTATCTCATCTAAAAAACAAAATATAAATTTAATCCAAATGATAATTTCGAGAAAAATCTTACTTATTCATCGAACGAGTTGTATTGCATTCGAAATTATATCTCTTTGTTAAAACAAAAACACACACACACACACGCATACACACAAATATCATCAATTCAGCTGATAAGGAAATCATACTTCAAAGGAAAATGTAAAACTTAATTGGATTTTCTCCGGAAAACAAAATTTGCAACAAATTCCTGTGATAATTTAAAAATGAACTGACACATAATCTTCTCTCGAATCAAAAGTGCACAAATGCAACAAAAGGTTGAATACGGGAAACACACATTGTAATTGTTGTAATAAAAATATATATATACAATACACACAAACATACATACATACATACATACATACATACATATGAGAACAATACAAGGCAAAGAATTGCAGGAAAAATAAAATAAAAAATGGAAAAATAAAATGGTACAATTGGAAATATAATAAATGACATTGACCAGCATTTCGGTCACATAAATATGTATATACAATTTAAAAAAAATTATACACACATAAATACATGCATATATATACACAGCAAAAAATTGAAAAAAATCATCAGATAGTCTATAGATTTACATTTCGTTAACCCCATCATCAAAATAATTGTTCTACTTTTCGAAGAGGCGAGATTAGGGCATTTTGTGAGAAAGTACGACACATGAACCTATTCTCAACAAGAAACAAGTTAAAAAGTATTAGTCGGTATTGTCGACAGATATATACCCTCAGCCTGTGTTCGATTATTTAAATATAATTTGACTAGTGTTTTTTTTTATTCAAACGTTTGACCCTCTATGGAGCAGGTTCCGAAAGAATTTACCAATATTGTCTATTTAGTATCGGACTCAAAAGTATGATATAAATATTCCGACGTTCCTGGTATGGATTATATCGACTAACTCCTTCACTTTATATGAGATATGTAATAATTTTTAGAAAATGTTAAAATGTGCATAATGTAAAAGATAGAATCTACCGAAATATTCCACTTTTATACTTCATCTGATACAAATAAAAAATATTGAACGAAATATTGAACGAAATTACAAGAAAGGATATTTATGTCCAATTTTATGTGAAATAATAAATTCCGATAAATTTCATATTCATATCAGTCTTCTTATTGGGAGAAATATTTGAGCATAGCGAGTAGTAAAGAACTGCTAAATTGTTTCGAAAGTTATGACAGATAAAATTATTGAGAATTGTGACCCCAGAAGGGGTTGGCAGATATATATCAACTTCATAACAGATCTTGTGTTAGCAAAAATATTTGAAATTTGAAGAGAGTTGGATGTTTATTTCTCTTTATTTGAGCGTTTTGTTTTTCACAATCTTGGGGGAGATGAAATGGTACGATCTATACCACCTTTATAACAGATCTTGTGTTTATAGAAAGATTTAGAGAGTAAATGGAATCGGATATTAATTTGGGGTTTTATGAGCCTTATGGGTATTCAAAATTTCGACACTTTGTGGGGGAGGTACCACAAGGAGTGGACCGATAAATAAATGCCATGTTAACACCAGATCTTGGGTTTATAAAAATATTGGAATGTGTGAAATTTTAAGACGTTCGGATCCTTACATCACATTTTATAAGAGTTATATATATATATATATATATATATATATATATATATATATATATATATATCGAGCTTCGAACTCTAAATACAAAATTTAAAACAATTTCGGTCAAAAATATCGCTAAAATTATCAAAATACAAAATATAGTGGGGTACCGTTATATTTGGGGCTATAGAGGGTGAGATGAAAAAACTGCAACAAAGTCAAACGCCACAACTTTTACATTTTTTTTTTAATTTCATTGAATAAAAGCAAAATATGTCGAAAATAGCATCAAATTCTATAATAAGTTTAGATTTGTTCGAACGGCCAATGAAACCGTCACACGCTGCCCGCATGTTGTACTGCGGTATTTTGGCCCATTCCCGGCGAAGCGCTTGCTTGAGGTGATCGTCACTTCTATACACCCTCCAGAATATTTTCACGATAATATTCGGCATTTATTCTAATGCCACGGTCTATTAATACGAGCGGAGAACGACCATCGGCTGTTATGGTGGCCCACACCGTCACCTTGGCCGGCGCTTGAGTTCAGGTGACCAACCGAAGGGGCACATTTTCAGCAGACCTCTTGGGCAGGTAAACACGATCATTTTGTTTGTTTACAAACTGCGAAATCATAAATTCCATATTTATGTCAGATTTCCGGTCGAGACAAATATTTAGATATAGCGAGTTTTAAAGAATCGCTGACTCGTTTCGCAAGTTATGAGAGATAAAAGTATTGAAAATTGTGACCATATGTGGTACCGGAAGCGGTTCGCAGATATGTCTTCACAGCAGATCTTGTGTTAGTAAAACTATTTGTGTGTGTGTGTGTGTGAAATTTGAAGAGAGTTGGATGCTTATTTCGCTTTTTTTAAGCGTTTTCTTTTTCAAAATCTTGAACCCTATGTGGGGCAGGTACCAGAAGGAGTGGACCGATATCTTCCATCTTCACAGCAGATCTGGTGTTAGAAGAAATAATGTTATGTGTGAAATATGAAGAGATCCGGATGCTGATTTCCGAGTTTATGACAGTTTTGGTTATTCAAAACGCTGACCCTTTGTGGGGAAGTACCAGAAGAAATGGTCCAATCTCTAACATTTTTATAACAGATCTTGTATTGATAGAAATGTTAAGATGTGCAAAGTCTTAATGAAATCAGATGATCATTTCGCGTTTTATGAGCTTCATGGTTATTCAAAATGTTGATCCCTTGTGGGGGAGGTACAAGAAGAAGCGGCCGATATATTTCATCTTCGAACTCGATCTAAGTTTGATAATAATATGACGATGTACAAAGTTTGTATCAAATCAGATACTCCCTTCGAGATTTATCGCAAGCACCAGCCAGACAGAAAGATAGACGGACGGACATCACTAGATCGAATCCAAAATTCCTGAAACGGATTTGGTCTAAAAAGACTTAAGATCTAAAAACGTTATTTCGATGAAGCACGTTTTTGGCCGTATCAAATGTCACATATCATCTGAGGGTATAAAAATCGGAAACATCAAAAATTGTCAAATTATATTGAAAAAGGGAAACTATCGAGCACCCTCTCATGGGTTTCAAAATGTGAGACCCCCACAAAGGGTCAACAGTTTGAATCATTTTAATTCTTAAAAAAGTCGGACTTGGACTCTTGTCCCAAGTCCGATTGTCTTCAAATTACACACATCGCAAAATTAATCCAAGGTCTGGAGCGAAAATGGGATATATCCGTACACTCCTTTTGGGACCTCCCTTGCAAAGCTTCAAAATTTTGAATAACCAAAACGGTCATAAAATCCGAAATAAGCATCCGGTGTTCTTCATATTTCACACATCCCATTATTTCTACCAACACAAGATCTGCTATGAAGATGGGATATATCGGTTCATTCCCTTTGGTACTCCCCCACAAAGGGTCAAAATTTTCAATAACCCTGAAGCTCATAAAACGCGAAATTAACATCCAACTCCATTCGAACTTGGCGCATCTCAATATTTCTATCAACACAAGATCTGTTATAAATATAGTAGAGATCGGAAGATTCTTTCTGGTACCAATCCCACAAAGGATCAACATTTTGAATATCAATGGAGGTCATAAAACAAAAAAACAAAATTAACATTTGATCCCACTCAAACTTGATACATCACAATATTTCCATCAACACAAGATTTGTTATACAGATGGTAGAGATCGAACCATTTCTTCTGGTACCTCCCCCACATAGGGATCAAGATTCCACCTCTCTTCAAATTTCACACATACAAACATTTTTGCTAACACAATATCTGTTTATTTAAAATATGTTTTCAAGGACTTAAAAAAACTACACTTCTTAGATGACCGCCGGACCGAAAACCATGGTTTTTTATAAACATATTTTAAAAAAAAAATTTCAATTTTTTCCTGGTAGAAAATTGAGAAACGTAGATTTGTCCAGGTTTTGTTACAAAAAAAAAAAAAAAAAAAAAAAAAAAAAAAACAAAAAAACTATGCCAAAAATTGTCTATGGTGAAAGAACTTATTTAAATGCGTTTTTGGGTCGCCAGTGTAGTGCCCAACTTTAAACTTTTCCAACTTTAAAAATATCTCTTTGGAAATGTAAAAAAAATAATTATTTTATCTTATATATAACCGATTTTTTCATGTGTATATATGCATGCATTTTCCAAAACTTTTGTCATTGAAAACAAAAATAAACTCCAGTCACACACACACACACACACTCAAGGACAACACATTTACAAAACGGAAACACACATATTTACACAATAACAATCCAGAACTTTACCTTATGGCCACATAACGCCATACGGCCAGTGTCACAGTTAAACCAATGGAAATGGTGTGCAGGACCTGGGTGAAATGCATGTGAAAGAGTATGTAGATGGCCCAGGCATAGCTGAAATCCTTTTCGCCTGCAAAACGAGAGAAAAAAAAAACAAGTTAAGAAAATAATAAAATTTAATGGTATTCCTTTTACGAAGTGTCAAAAGGTCTAAACTAAAAATTTGTTTATTTTAATTGGTAATTATTACATACAACCTTTCAGATATTTTTTCCCCAAATATGGTATATGACGAAAATAAAAAAGGAATCAAAAGAAGGAAAAAAACGTAAATTTTAGTATATATTTGTATCAGGGTATTATGTCTTTGTGCCTTTGTTTATAACAGGCAAAAGGAAACGAGATAGACCCATAGTTCCTTTTGATGATCTGCATAGAATTACATTCTGAGTCGATTTATGCATATGTGTACAGTTCGCATTTATTACCCGATCCAGATGAAATTTTGTCACAAATCATTTGTTTGGCCCAAGGACGAACCCTATTGAAATTGTAGATAATCGGTAAAAATGTAGATATATCTCCCATATATATCTTCGTCCGATTTGCCTTTTATTGTGCACCAAACGTGTAATATCAGCCCGAATAGCATGGAATTTTGCACATACAACCAAATTAGGCCTGAAAATAAGTATGTCAAATTTGATCGAAATCGGTTCAGATATAGCTATAGATCCAATATATATTGTTCATGCGATTTGTTATTTTAGTCCTCCGCAGCCATAATATGCACTCTGTGACAACAATATTTGGAGAAATATATCAAATACAGCTCAGAAATACCTTTGCCAAATTTTATCGAGATTGGTTCGGATTTGGATATATCTCCCACATATAACTTCGTCCGATTTACCTTTTATTGTGCACCAAACGTCTAATATTTGCCGAAATGGGATGAAATTTGGCATTTACGACCGAATTGAGTCTAGAAGCTAGTATATCAAATTTGGCGAAGATCGGTTCAGATATAGCTATAGTTCCCATATATATTGTTCATCCGATTTGTTATTTTTGTCCTCCGCAGCCGTAATATGCACTCCGTAACAACGGTATTCGGGGAAATATATGAAATACAGCTCAGAAATATCTTTGCCAAATTTTGTGAAGATTGGTTCAGATTTGGATATAGCTCCCATATATATCTTTATATGATTTCAAATTAATTGTGCACCAAATGGGCAATACAAGCCCGAACTTAAAAGATACAAATGCTTCGGCATATTTAGTCTTTTGAACTTTAAATTATAATTATTATCATGGCGTGTATGATTGAAATCTCCCATAAAAACTTTTAATTGTTATGTGAAGCTCTATTAAATTAGCAAAATGGTGTAGGGTATCATAAAGTCGGCCCCGCCCAACTTTAAAAGTTTCTTTACTGTTTTTCTATTAATTAAATAAAATATAAAAAATTAAAAAACATAATTCTCTTTTCGTCATACAAAAAAAAAATCCCTCCACAAATTGTATATATTTTCAATTAATTTTGAACAAAGCCAAACAATAATATTTTATTTGTAACACAATATTATTTTTCGTTTTCGTTTTCGTTTTATTTATTTATTTTTTCATAAACTTACCAGGCTTCATGTAAATATATTGGGACGATGCAAATGGGATGTACTCAATCATCACAAACATATCCGCCACTGCCAGCCACTTGAGTATTTTATTTATTGGTGCTTTGGCCATATCCTTTTTGGTCAATACCATGATGTTCAGCAGATTGGCAATTGTTCCGAACAGGCAAATCTGGAAATACATACAGCCAATGAAAAGGAACAAAAAAAAAAAAAAATACGGATGAAAAAAATGGATAATAACGTGATTAATTGCCACCAGTTACAGTTGTATTGAATGTGTGATAAAGGTATGTATTTTAAAGTGGGTCGATGTTAAGAGATCTGAAAAAATTACGAAAACTAAAAATTATGAATTAATAGGATGTTCCCCTAGAAACAATGAAACTAGAGTTTTAACACAAATATGTTCAAATATGGAGCCATGGAAAATTTTAAGTTGCTCAAAAAAAAAAAAAAAAAAAAAAAAAAAAAAAAAAAAAAAAAACAGATTGACCCACATTTGTATCCTGTACTTGATTCATGTTTACTCGTGTGCATCAATTATCTTTTACACATGTATATATATTTTAATTTAACAGGTACATATGTATCTACAAGTCATGAAACGGTCGAATTTGGGATTGGATTGGATTGGATTGATAACACTTAAGACTTCCTAATGGTCTTCTGAAGAAAGAACAGTGGTCTTTTTCGAGAATAAAATAAGGCCCAATAGTCTTCTATAGAAAATATCGGTTGGTTTTCTATTAAAGAAGACCTGCTGGTCTTCTATATAAGGAAACCCTCTGATTTTATATAGAAGAAGACTCTATGGTTTGACATAGGAAAACCGCTGGTCGTCTATAGAAAAAGACTTTCTGGTCTTATATAGAAAATCCGCTGGTCTTTTTTAGAAGAAACCCCACTGGCCTCCGGTAGAATAAGACTTGATAGCCCTCTATAAAAGAAGACCTCACGGTCTTCTGTAAGACAAGACCACCTAATGGTCCTCAATGGGAAAAAACACGGAGATCTTTTATATGAGAGGTCCTGTAGAATAAACCCTACCGGTCTTCTATGGAAGAAGAACTACCGGAACTATGGAAGAAGACTTACCGGTCTTCTATGGAAGAAGACCTACCGGTCTTCTATGGAAGAAGACCTACCGGTCTTCTATGGAAGAAGACCTACCGGTCTTCTATGGAAGAAGATCTACCGGTCTTCTATGGAAAAAGACCTACCGGTCTTCTATGGAAGAAGACATGCTGGTCTACTATGGAAGAAGACCCGCTGGTCTACTGTGGAAGAAGACCCGCTGGTCTACTGTGGAAGAAGACCCGCTGGTCTTCTGTGGAAGAAGACATGCTGGTCTACTATGGAAGAAGACCCGCTGGTCTTCTGTGAAAGAAGACCCGCTGGTCTTCTGTGAAAAAAGACCTGCTGGTCTTCTATGGACGAAGACCTGCTGGTCTTCTATGGACGAAGACCTGCTGGTCTTCTATAGCAGAAGACCTGCTATAGCAGAAGACCTGCCGGTCTTCTATGGAAGAAGACATGCTGGTCTACTATGGAAGAAGACCCGCTGGTCTTCTGTGAAAGAAGACCTGCTGGTCTTCTATGGACGAAGACCTGCTGGTCTTCTATGGACGAAGACCTGCTGGTCTTCTATGGACGAAGACCTGCTGGTCTTCTATGGAAGAAGACCTGCTGGTCTTCTTCTATGGAAGAAGACCTGCTGGTCTTCTATGGAAGAAGACCTGCTGGTCTTCTATGGAAGAAGACCTTCTATGGAAGAAGACCTGCTGGTCTTCTTCTATGGAAGAAGACCTGCTGGTCTTCTTCTATGCAAGAAGACCTACTGGTCTTCTATGGAAGAAGACCTGCCGGTCTACTATGTAAGAAGACCTGCCGGTCTACCATGGAAGAAGACCTGCCGGTCTACTATGGAAGAAGACCTGCCGGTCTACTATGGAAGAAGACCTGCCGGTCTACTATGGAAGAAGACCTGCCGGTCTACTATGGAAGAAGACCTGCCGGTCTACTATGGAAGAAGACCTGCCGGTCTACTATGGAAGAAGACCTGCCGGTCTACTATGGAAGAATACCTGCTGGTCTACTATTGAAGAAGACCTGCCGGTCTACTATGGAAGAAGACCTGCCGGTCTACTATGGAAGAAGACCTGCCGGTCCTTTATGGAAGAAGACCTGCCAGTCTTCTATGGAAGAAGAATTACCGGTCTTCTATGGAAGAAGACCTACCGGTCTTCTATGGAAGAAGACTTACCGGTCTTCTATGGAAGAAGACCTACCGGTCTTCTATGGAAGAAGACCTACCGGTCTTCTATGGAAGAAGACCTACCGGTCTTCTATGGAAGAAGACCTACCGGTCTTCTATGGAAGAAGATCTACCGGTCTTCTATGGAAAAAGACCTACCGGTCTTCTATGGAAGAAGACATGCTGGTCTACTATGGAAGAAGACCCGCTGGTCTACTATGGAAGAAGACCCGCTGGTCTTCTGTGAAAGAAGACCCGCTGGTCTTCTGTGGAAGAAGACATGCTGGTCTACTATGGAAGAAGACCCGCTGGTCTTCTGTGAAAGAAGACCCGCTGGTCTTCTGTGAAAAAAGACCTGCTGGTCTTCTATGGACGAAGACCTGCTGGTCTTCTATGGACGAAGACCTGCTGGTCTTCTATAGCAGAAGACCTGCTGGTCTTCTAAGGGAGAAGACCTGCTGGTCTTCTATGGAAGAAGACCTGCTGGTCTTCTATGGAAGAAGACCTTCTATGGAAGAAGACCTGCTGGCCTTCTATGGAAGAAGACCTGCTGGTCTTCTTCTATGCAAGAAGACCTACTGGTCTTCTATGGAAGAAGACCTGCCGGTCTACTATGTAAGAAGACCTGCCGGTCTACTATGGAAGAAGACCTGCCGGTCTACTATGGAAGAAGACCTGCCGGTCTACTATGGAAGAAGACCTGCCGGTCTACTATGGAAGAAGACCTGCCGGTCTACTATGGAAGAAGACCTGCCGGTCTACTATGGAAGAATACCTGCTGGTCTACTATTGAAGAAGACCTGCCGGTCTACTATGGAAGAAGACCTGCCGGTCTACTATGGAAGAAGACCTGCCGGTCCTTTATGGAAGAAGACCTGCCAGTCTTCTATGGAAGAAGACCTGCCGGTCTTCTATGGAAGAAGACCTGCCGGTCTTCTATGGAAGAAGACCTGCCGGTCTACTATGGAAAAAGACCAGCTGGTCTTCTGTAGAAGAGGACCTGCTGGTATTCTACAGCAGAAGAATCTTCTCTGAAAGAAAACCTGCTGGTCTTCTGTAGAAGAGGACCTGTTGGTATTCTATAGAAGAAGACGACCTACTGGTCTTCTGTAGAAGAGGACCTGCTGGTATTCTATAGAAGAAGACGACCTACTGGTCTTCTATAGAAGAAGACCTGCTGGTCCTCTATAGAAGAAGACCTGCTGGTCCTCCATAGAAGAAGACCTGCTGGTCCTCTATAGAAGAAGACCTGCTGGTCCTCTATAGAAGAAGACCTGTTGGTCTTCTATAGAAGAAGACCTGTTGGTCTTCTATAGAAGAAGACACACTGGTCCTCTATAGAAGAAGACCCGCTGGCATTCTTTAGAACAAGACCCGCTGGTCTTCTATGGAAGAAGACCTGCTCTGGTCTTCTATGGAAGAAGACCTGCTCTGGTCTTCTATGGAAGAAGACCTGCTGGTTTCCTATACAAGAACATCCCATGGTTTTCTGTAGAAAAGGGCCATTTTTCATTCCAAGATTTTTGATGTAATCTGAAACCTATAGTAGAATTTTGTAAAAAAAAATTGTAGAATATTTCGACTTGATACTATCACATTTGAAGGGATTTTTAATAAAATTTTGTTAAAAGGAACACAAATTTCTATAGGAAAAGACCATCCAAAATTCTTCTATAAAATATGGTCTTGTAAAGAAGAGGCCATAGCAATATACCACCCAATGGTCTCCTTTTATATAAGACGATGATGGTTCTCATTAGAAAAAAAAATTAACCATAAGAAAAAAATTGATTTTATTCTAATCGACATTTACACAATCCTAATGTTGTCCAACTCCATAACTTTTCTTGGCAGGAAAAATATATATCTAGAAGTTATCTAAATACAATCGAATAATGAGACTAACAAAAACAAAAACAAAAACAACAACAAAAACAATAATCTTTATACAAACTCCTATTTCCAATTAATTTGGCATTTCCACTTCCTGTCTAATAAACAATCGTTATTTCCCCAAATGACCCAGACACCCGGCCGCAACCCAGCTGCTAATTGGAGTGCCAAAGCAATTCTCGCTTCTGGTAGCCAAAGCGTAGGAATATTCTATTATCTGTCAAACATATGTTTTCATTTATTTGGAATTTATGTTAATACACGCTTAGAGTGAGCAGAGATAGCGCTGCTCCACGAACCCTTGTCAAAGATTTTATCGCCGTCGTCGTCATGGTGGCCTCATGTTCGCCAGCTTTATTGAGTGTTAATTTTGCCCGCTGCCATGGCTTGCGGTTATTTTGCTAAAAATCTCCTGATAGTATTTGGGGCGTTAATAAAATATATATTTTTTATATACTTCTATACATACACACATACAGCCATACTGACATATGTACATAAAATGCAAACAATGAACCAGACCCATAGCCCAGAGGAAGGATAAAGAATTGAAACGAAGCGAATGTAATACGCATTTAATTATTATTATGTGTTACATTGTTGTTGTTGTTGCTGCTGGTGTTTTTATTATTTTATCTACTGCCGCCTGCCAAATAGAGATAATCTGATATTTTTCAAAGGAAAAATAATGGTTGGAATGGGGATAGAGAGCCAGCAGTCAATTTGTGAAGGCGGAAGTAAAAAAAAAGTTGTCGGATTTAGTCTGAGTTTGGCAAAGTCAGCAGGTTGTCTTGTCATTTAGAGGAGAAGTAGGTGGATTCTTTTATGGATAATTATAGCTGTATTTAGAATTATAATAATAATGAAAATAATATAATAATAATAACCACAAGTTAAAAAGTATCAGTCGGATTTGCCGACCGATGTTTACCCTAAGCCTATGTTTCATTATTTAAATATTTTTCTGTTCTCTGTTATGATTATTCAAATTTCTTACCCTCTATGGAGTAGGTTCCGGAGGG